CGTCGGGAACAACTTCAAATTAAATGAATTTGAATTTAATTTATATATGAATTTATTATATCGACTTTTAAATTTTAGCCCGTGAGCGAAAAATTCCAGGATCCGCCCACCCAATTCAAATCTCTAATGGATTCACATAGATCCAACCCCGGATACTCAAAATCAGCTTCCAAAAACCTTGGCTCTAATACCACTTTATATTGGTTTATATCCATATTACATCAGAAACTACAAGGGATAACTAATACAACTCTTGAAATCCAAAGACATCATCACTTACTTGTTTTCCTCCTATGTAGATTATTAGAGGAATAGCTTTGTCCACAAATATATGCCACTCGAGTTATTGCACATGCCTTCTTAGAGAACGACAATTAGATTTTCCTACGAAATCCAAGAGATACCTCAAAAATCAAACAACAATTAATGTAGAATCATATTCAAAAACACTGTTCACCAATGATAGTTTAAACAGAACCTAGGTAAAAAAAATTAGTATCAAAGGCTTAAATAGATCAACCTTTGATTCTTAGCGACCAAAAGAAGAAAAAAATTATGAGAAACGAAGGAATTTTTTGAGTGATTTCAATGGTTACTTCATACGTAAATAACGCTCGGTCCATAAAATGATATAGTTGTATAAAGGATATAGTATTCTTATCTCCGAGGGAATCAACATGGTTCAGCACATAATTTGATCCTCTTGAGTATTTCCAATACCATCCATTAGTTTTCTCTCATATCGTAGTTGGAATCATTGATTTGTATCTTAATTTTTTGTATCTAGGATAGCGCCTTAATTTTCTAGCGGAGCAGCTAGCTTATGCCTTATGCCAAGGCATCATTAAAATTATAATTTATTTTTCATTCTTTTATTATTAACCATACATTCTCTAATAAAATAATATTATACGTAATCCCAGAAAATTTTCTTCTTTTATAATCACACTTTTTTTTTTTTTTCAAAAAACACTATTTCAACTATTGAAATTTCAAATGATTGGAGCCAAACTGGAGCTATATAAGTGCATATGTCAAATGAAATGGGGACCTAAAGCTCTGTTTGATTGTAACGAATTCCATGAAAAATGTCACATCCGAGGAAAATGAATTCCATTTTGGCCATTTGATTGTAATGTGGAAATGGAAACCGAATTTCAAGGTACAACTACTTTAAACTGTATTTTCTTTATTTTCATGAAAACGAATTCTTATTAGTTTGTGAGTTTTTATTTTCCAACTAACATGAAATTGAAATTACTTTTCACATTTACTTATTAAACGGACCCTAATTGTGTCATAAATATCATTTTAAAATTTCATTAAATTATTATGTAGCCTTATCATGCTTGGCAAAATTTTGTTGTCCCTAAATTTTCATGATGTTGTGCGCTTCACTGCCATTCTTTTCCGCAGTGCGCATTAGCTACACTAGGATTGTACACTAAATTAGCAGCTTAACTTCCATTTTAAAAAGATAGCACCATTCTCAATATTTTGGCATCGGTTGAACTATCTTCAATCGTACACTAATCCCAATTTCATTAATATTCATGAACAATTCTTGAAAGTAAGCGGAAAAATCAGATTGTTAAAAAAAATCATTGATCCCATCCAACGGTTTGAGATTCACCACCCTCAACCTAATACAATCCAAGAGATGTAATTATTTGATTCATATCGTGCCACTTGGACCTCACTTTACCATGTTACTGTAACCTTTGTTGAAACATGATTCCGCGTCATGTCATCTAACAAACCCTCTTCAACTAAATTTGTACAATAAATTAATAATGTCAATATTTTCAAAAGTCATATCTTTTTTTTTTTTTTTTAAAAAGATTACAACTTATTTGCAAATGTTAATTTCGGGATCCTAAAAAATGTCTGGAAATTTAATTTGTCCATTTTTAACCATTTATAAACGGTTTATAAACACTTGTCCAATTTATGTTTAGATATCAACGGAATTTAAAAACTAAGAGATAATTTAATAATAATAAACTAAATTCTAAGAAAATTATCCCTTACCCACTAACAATAAAAACTAGAAATATAAAGAAGACAATGTCACAATAGAGAAGCCAAAAGCAAAGCCTCATAACATCTCCAAAAATACTCTTTAATTTAATAATATTTAGGCCATGTTTGGGAGGG